CAAATTTGTAAGTTTTGTCTTATATTTGCGGTTAACATAGCTTTTAAACATTCAAGAGAATCTTCTACGGACAATGTACCAAAAAATCCTACAAGCCAATCGGGTGATAATAAATGCGTATGAACGACCGCTCTTTTAATGTCATACAAATCAGTATAATGTTCTAAAGCACGTTGTAGTAGACCAGCTTTCTCGCATAATTGTGCAACATGCGCTCTATCGTAGTGAGTAAACATTTGATTCCCTAAAATAGCATCGGCTACTTGCGGAGCAGACATTAGATTCATTTCCAGGAGGCGTGTTTGTAAAGCTCCTTCGCTTGGTCGATTATTTTTAAGTGCATCTAATAAAAATGCTGTACATTGCTGAACCATATTTTGCTCCATAAATATATCTACAATCTACAACAAATTATTTTCAAATAAATGACAAATAAATGAATAAATTTTAATATCAAATAGAGTTAGTATAAAAGAAAAAGAAAAAAGAAATCACATGGTTAAACACATTAAAATAGTTAAAGAAAAAAACTTGCTTGATTAATATCAGCTAAGGGCTCCGCGTCTTGAACCAACATTTGTGCAAATGCTACACCTTGGTCGGGATTAATTCTCATGAGATTTCTTAAAAGAAATATATAATCTGGAGTATAAGACACCTTTTTAGCGTATAGAACGATCTTTTGAAATTGGCCAGTCTCGGCAAAGCATTGTATAACTTTATTGGGTACGTTAGCCCTTAAGTAAACACTTAAAGCAAGAGTAGGATCAGCTTGTTTAACCAGATCTCCCAATTCTTCGCTGCACTCCAATTTATCTTCTTTCAACCATTTTTCAAGAAGTTGTTTGCGACCCTGTACCAACACAGGTCTACATAATTCTAATGATTCGTATTTATTTAATTGTCCTTGATCTAGTAGAATTCCAAAATATTGAAGTAGCGGCGAAGTTTGTCCTTGCGTAGCAGGAACCTAGAAAACAGAAACGCAATGTTTTATAAGTATATCGTTGAAAATAATGAAAATGATAAATTAAAAGATTTCTTTACGTATATATATATATTCACCTGTTGGAATCGTTGAATAGTTGCAGGAGTTCTTAGAATTCCTTTAGGAGCGTTAGCAGCAACTTTAGCAGCTTCCGCGTATTGTCCATTTTGAAATAGCATAGTAAATTTTCGTACAAATAAATCTTCCGCGCCGGACAAATTGTTCCTGACAGCCATCCTCAAAGCCAATTCAGGATTTTGTAATACACCATTAATATACGGAATGATATTCTCTTCATCCACAGATACGGATAAAACTTGACCTTTACGATTAACACCGATGATACCACCAGAAGCTTCGTGAGGTGCCGTAACAAAAATGGTCTCTCCCGAGATTCGATTCATAAATATACAGATCGCTGATTCGATATCGTACATATGTATATAACCATATTTAGTGATTAAATAAATGACATCGTATTTGGAGCTAACTTGCATAGCGACAGGAAAATCGTTTCCCGCTTCAGGTGGGAAAAATACATCTACTGCCTTTTTGGGAAATGGTTGATTTCCAGCCGGAGGTTGTCCTACTTCTATAATATGTAGTTTTGCACCTTGTACCGTTCTAACGGCAAAACAAAATAAGTTACTAGGTTCTGGATTTCCTTCCATTTTAAATTGCGCAAATGCAGCAGCGTGTCCTTCGATAGGTTGAGAACATTTCCTATCTACGGAGTATAGTTGCATCGCGCCAACTACTCTGTTATGTTGCGCAGAAATACCAATTAATAATAACCAAGTCTGTTTTGGATCTGTTCTGTAATTAATTATTTGACATCCATTCAAAGACGAATGACGCTCAAACATCTTAGTGGGCGTCGAATCTCCTTCCATCGACCAATGATAAACTGCACTTTCGGTAACTAGTGCTAAAGTGTTTATAGATATCCACTTCCAAAAAACTACGTCCTCTGTCATAGTATGGGCTTTCATCTTTGATTTCATTTCAATATTAAATATTTGAAATGTTTTTACAGCTTGAGATTTAAATTGAAAATAAATATTTATTAATAAAATAAAATGTATTATGAGATGTCAATGTTTGTTAACACATTACTCATTGGCAATGAATTAAATGAATATGTGAATAAATATTGGTCAATTTAAATTAGAATTCATCGATAATACTAAACGGATTTACTTATTAATTGATTGCCAATAAATAAAGAGTGTTAATACGAATAAAACATAAATATTATATTTAATTAGATTAATATTGTTACCTTTTAGTGCGATAACTTTGCTCGCAGGATTCATGATAACAGAATCGGCAGAGATAGGTCTTCTAGTAGGATTTGTAGAATCGTTCATATCGATAATAACTACCTGGGAAGTATCACCAACTTTTTCTCTAACGCATATAAATTTATCCGATTCCATAGTGAGTGTATTGAAGCTGGCATTGCTCGCATTGATTCCAACAGCTGTGAGCTACAAAAACAATACTAATCGTTACTCGATAAATACTATTAACATCATTTTAATATAAAATTTATTTGCATTTATCCCAACAGTGGCGAGAGCCTAGATAACGATATCTCATATTAATCTTTACTCGATAAAAAATACTATTCATACAATTTGAACATTAAAATTCTTGCAACATTATTCCAAACAAATAAATAAAAAGAAAAATATGAGATTTATAGAAAAGTTCATTGCAATCTAAAGAATTGAAATATTTCAATCTGATGAGATGACCCACATAACGAATTGAAAATGTGCAGAAATTTAGGACAAGTGATAATGAAATAATGAAATATTAATCGTTGTCTTGAAAATAATGAAAAATTTTAAAAAATCTGTAAAAGAAAAAAGAGAAAAGGAAGATAGGAAGGAAGGGAAAAGGTAGATTTAAAAGAGAATTAGAAAAAAAAGAAAGAAATACAAAAACCATTCATAGTTTTAAAGGTTGGAAACGGAAGGAGGAAGGGGCGTCGTACGTGTCGAGTAGTAGACGTGGCCCTTGCCTCTTTTACATCGGCGTACTATTAGCAATAATCGATCTATTCTTTCGAAGTTCGATTGGTCTCGTAAGAGATAACCTTATTTCAACTAAAAAAAAAAAGGAGGAGAGGAAAAGAAAAAAAATTTTCCCCCAAAAAAAATCCCCATCTTTTTTTTCGGTATCATCGTTGGAAAAAAGTCGAATAAAAATTGGTAAAAAATTCGGAAAAAAGATAAATCGTTTATGCGTCGTTAAATTAAGAATATATTTTACATATATAATACGTTCTATATAATATATATATATATATATATACATAATAAGAAAGATCAAACGAGTATCTAATGATATACCTGTCAAAGTAACGTCATTTCTAATACTAATTTTTTCGTTACTTCCGTTTTCAATGATTAAGATCGTGTCAATGACAAAAAATACAATGAATATGTTTTTTCTTTTTTTTTTTTTTTTTTTTAATGCAAATTATAACAAAATGAAAAAGAGGAGAGGGGGGAAGGGAAGGAAAATAAAACGAGGTAAAGGATAATCAATGGATCAACGTATTCGTTGATACGTGAATCATACGTTGTAACGAAAATTGAAAGAAATAAAAGAGAGAGAGAGTGAGAGAGAGAGAGAAAAAAGAAGAAACAGGTCACTTACCTGAAGATGTTCCTGAAACCTTATGGGTAGTAGCTGCGTCATTTTTACGAGATTACTTTTATCCGACAAATTTATTTCCCCCCCGCGAGAGAATAATCAATTTAATATATATATATATATATATATATATATTATATATATATATATATCCTCCTTCCTTCTTATAGTATATCCTCCGTGCGTGTGTATGCGTGTGTTACTTTTTTTTCTTTCTTCTTCCCCGATAACTTTCTTTTTAATCCCCCTAATATTAATTTATCGTGACAATCGAACAATGGCCGATCGAATTATAATAATAATAATAATAATAATATAATAATAATAATAATAATAATTAAACGTCTATTTACAATGGTCGTTGCTTTCCCCGGTTACTTGAAAACGTATCCGTTTGAGAGATTTTTTTTTCTCTTATCTTTTTTTTCTTTTTTTTTTAAATTCTCAAAAGGCGAAAAAATAGTATTCCTCGATCAACCATAAGAGCGCAGAAAACCAACTGACGCAAAGCGAATGCCGTCACTACTCGCCGCTGACACCCATCATGGCCGCTGACTAAAGCGAGCCGCCCCCCTTACAACCAGAAATAGTTCCCCAAAAGCGGAAGTATAATTTCCTAGACTCCTCGCGATCGAGGAATTGAATTATAATTCGTGTTTAAATCGACGATAATTATTTTTAACAACTATTGTTAATTTCCCCCCGTATTTTTCTTCTTCTTCTTCTTACTTTTCTTTTTCTACTTCTTGCAACGAGATATAACTATTTCTTAGATTTCTTTTTTTCTTATTCTCTCTAGGATCTAACTCGCGAAACGATACTCCGATAGGATTATTATGATTATTATCGAATTTAAATGTTCTATCGTACTAGCGTACTAGCGCAAGAATACAAGCCCATTGGATTCTGTTCCGTGCTTCGAACGCCACCCCCTTCCTTTACTTCAGACCGTTACCCTCACTCTATCTCTATCCCTGTCTTTTTCTTTTTAGTTTCCACCATCTTTGTTACTCGTTACGAGAGAGATAGCGCCATATGCATGTGCTGCTCTCTTATCAAACGTTGATATTAATTTTAACTAAAGTTAACCTCACTTTTTGTTTTATTACTAGAAAAAAATTCACTAGAAATATATACATGTCTATATATATAAATTTTCTTTTTCTATTTCATTGATTCACTTATAAGTTTTGTATATAAATTTTAAGTTATTATTACCTCTATTCTAATATTGATTCAAACTTTTTTTAAGATTTAATATCAATATTAGGTAACAACTAAATTGAATTAATAGTAGATGCAAATCTTTGATCAGTTTTAATAGAGGTTTTAATAATTATTGAAGTTTAGCAAATTAAAAACAGGATTTATTCAACAGCAGTATATCCAAATAGTCAGAATACAAATAATTTGTACAATTTCATTAGTCAGCTGCTGAGAATCTGTTTTTCTTCTTTCTGTTCTTATTTTTAATCGAATAGACCAAAACCCATGTCATCGTCTTCCGATTCAGATTCTTCCTTGGCCGGTTTCTTCTCCTCTGTTACAATAAAAAAACAAATATATATACATAATATATATTAGCATAAGCATTAACAGAAATTAGTATGAATATTACATGTTAATCATAAAGTTTTTGAATTATACCTTTCTTTTCTTCAGCTGGTGCAGCAGCTGCAGCTCCAGGTGCGGCTGCGGCTGCAGGCGCAGCACCACCGGCAGGTAAAGCGGACAACTTTTCACGACCTTAAAATAATTGATAGCATATATAGGTACAGAATATTTCATTAGATATTATATGAGGTGATTATTCCAGTTGATTGAAAAGTATCGGTTTTACCTTGACTTATAACATCATCGATGGATTTTCCATTGAGTTCGTTGATAACTTTTTTCAATTTTTCATTGTCAGCTTCGATACCAACCGAAGAAAGAATCTTTTCTATGTCGTTTTGGCTGGGAGATGTTTTGCCTCCGAGCACAGCTAAAAGATAAGCGGCCACGTAACGCATTCTGAAACATATATTTTCTTATACAAACATATATCCTATATTGCATACAAATATTAAGATTAAAAATGATTATCCTCAGTTAAAAAAGTAACCATCACAATACTCAGTCGAAAGATGGTGAATATTTAAATCATCATAACAATTATTGAACTATATTTCAATGTGTGACTTAGAGATATTAAAAAAATAATATTTTTAATTGAACACAAATAAAGCTTGAACGTTTCATTAATTAAATAACTAATTGTTACCAAAACACTATTATTATCACTGAACTATATTATTATTTCTTGTATAAATACACGTGCAACGTAATATAACTGAAAAAAAGTATCAAACAATATCTACAAATAATAATTTTAATCCTTGAATATTATTTAGTGTCTCGATTATATAGTTTATGAATAATGTATTAATAATAATATTAGTGTAAATTTATTTAATAATCTATAATAATTTATAATTCTTACTTTTAAGTCTAACGACACGAAACGTGGTACTCGCTAAAATGAACGTAATAATCTGATCGCCACAAGAGCAAACCTTCGTGAAACCAATAAAACGGAAGCGAGTTTTTATGTATTTTAAAATTCTCTAGATCAATAATTTCCGGTTTAATAGAACATTTAAAATTCAACCAATCTCTGTAAAGAATGAAATGAATATGAGCCAATCAAATTCGAGTGAGTTTTCAAATATTACTGGTGCTGTCCTCTAGCTAAAAATACAAACAGCCAATGAGCAACCGGAATCAAGTGCACGTAACTAAAATGCAACAATAACAGTACACATGCATTATTAAAGGTTATAAAGATCTAATTCTACAGTTAATTATAAAGAATTTAATTAGTTAAATAATAAAAATGAATGCTGTGCGTTTACTGACTAAAACGTTTGCTCTCAACAGATGTTACAGACCGGTACAATTTGAAAGTCAGTAATTAATTCCTTTAATTCTGTTTCTCAATAAATTGATGTTTATATTGTTATAATTGTATTTATATTTACTAAATTAATTTAATTGTTATTTTAGCTAGAAGATTTATAAAACGATATATTTCTCCTACGCAAATAGAAATTACAAGGAGAAAAATAAAATTAGGGCCTCAACCAGAACCTATTCGTAGTACTTTTTTAGAATGGAACAGAGGTAGTGAACTTTACGCGTTTAACGCAAGACTCAGTGAAAAATTTGACACTTCGTTGTTAGACCAAGCATTTATTCATAGATCTTATGTTATCAAAGAAGAAGAAAATCAGAAACAACAAGGAATACAAGATCCTAAACTTGACTTAAGCGATAACAAAGAGCTTATAGAGAATGGAAGAATGTTTGTTTCTAAAGTCGTACAAAAATATTTGCATGAAAATTTACCTAATTTACCGGACAGTGGTATTATGTACGTTCAAAGTATTTCCTAATATTCTCGTAGCATTTTTTTTACTGTAGTATCAATATTACCGTTATAATTATATTTTTATCGCACATAGGGGTATACATAATTATCTTTTAAGCGAAGAATGTTTGGCCAACGCTTCTATACACATTGGAACTAAAGATTTAATATTAACTGCGGTACGCATTTGTAAAATCTATAAACTTTGATTAGAAGATCAGGCATTATAATTACTCAGTGATTTTGTTATTAATAATTAGATTGTAATTTTAGGAATATCCTGTTTTAAAGGAAACATTAGCTAATACATTTCTCGCGCTTGCAGCAGCTCTTGTCGAAAGTGTAGATGCCAATCACGCTGCAATATTTGTTCGTGATTTTTTAATAACGATATTGGCGGATAAAGAATTACCTAGTGTATGGATTCCAAGCAATCCTTTACAAGAATTAAACGATCATCTTTCAAAAGAAGGTAGAGGCCTTGCGGAACCAAGAATTATTGGAGAAGCTGGAGTGAATACACTTTTAGCTTCGTATCACGTTGCCGTTTATTCCGATAAAAAATGTTTAGGCATCGGTGAGTATGTACGTTTGAAAATAATTGATTGTATATAAAGAATATTTTTTGAAATTATTTTCTTATATATCAAGGATGTGGCGTGACTGTCAACGAAGCTAAAGAAGTCGCTGCACTTGATGCTTTATGCAAAATATATGGATTAGCAGATTCTAGTAAACCGATAAGGTTTAATAAAGTTATTGAAATGGAGTAGCAATAGATGGTATGATATTAATTTTTTAAGCGATAATTTAAAATAATTTAAATACATATATATATATATATATATATATATATATATGTATGTGTGCGTATAACCGTCCTTCAATATTTTTCATTTTTATATTTGCGTTAGGGTCATAAAGTCTCTCTCTCTCTCTCTCTCTCTTTAGTTAAAAAGATGAGAGTTAGGTTTCTTTGAATATGCCGCATGGCATATACTATAAACGATAATATTCTTCANTAGTCTACAAATTTACCTTCAACTCGTTCGTATCTCTTAAAACAAAAAATAAAAGAGAGAGAGAAAAAAAAAGAAGACATAAATAAATAATTAAAAAGAACTGAGATATATTTTTAAATCATGTGTTATTATTTATATTACAAATTAATATTAATATTATTAATCGTAAGTTGTTTTCCTCATCTCAGTTTTTGAATTTGTGCGCCAATAGCGTCAGGGGTACCAAATTAAAAAAGAATCTAAAAATTCCCTAGCACTTTTTTAGTTAATTTTTTTCGCGATTGGCACTGACAGTTTTGTAAATAACCTTAAATTTCTAGCTATTAATTCTACACGCTGATTGGTTCGTTCTGGATTGGCTAGAAATAATGACAACCTAGAATTCGCTAGGAACGTCATCTACCATGAAAATAATTAATCAGAACATTTAAAAATACGTTGGCAAATCTAAAATGCATGTGAACCATAGTATAAGACAAGAAGAGGAATGTGTAATTAACTCATTGTTCTGCTGACTAATGAACGTTCCTGCTTTGGAAAACTTTGTCGAAGATTTTTTGTCGATAATGATGAAATCCAGCTAAAAGAAAAACATACAAAATAGTTTCGTTTACGTTGATTAATAATTACATCAAAAGTTCAATTAAGAAAGAGAGAGAGAGAGAAAGGGAACACAATATTTAATTACAAATATAATCACCATAAGAACAAACACTAGAGAAATATAATTTAAACAAAATAGTTCATTCATTAAATTCATTATCAAAGGAACGTGTTATTGGTGCACACACACATAAATATCGTATAAATACGTATTAAATAAAAAATAATAATAATAAATCTTACATGATTTTTTAATCATGAAAATCGAGGAGAGCAATAGCGTGACGTAGCGTGAATAATGACTATACTAACATATGTATATATATGTATACGTATAACAAACATACTCTTATGCGATTAGTGGGTTGGGCACGCATACTTATACACATTGTATACATACTTTTATTCATATATACATTCATAATTTACCAATGACAATTAAGCGTGATTCTTTCTTTTTCACGCATTGAAATCATATGAATTGCAAGAAAACAAAATGGCGGCAATTACTTGAAAAATAATTTATTAAAAATCTTTCTTACCTTTTAATATTAATAATCCATTATAAGACAAATTATATATTGAAAATTTGTTTCGCGTGATAATTATTATTAATAATATTATTTATAAATAGTTAACACACACACAGAGTTCTTAAATAAATGTATTATAGTTTATTTTTGTTATTTCAACTGACGTATATTTTGAACGTTTCTATTCTTATATTTTAGGAGTAGTGTACGTGGTGTACATATATCGTATTTATACACATATATATATATTGTATATGTACACCACGTTATATTCAAAACCCTACGTTATTTTAGTGACGTGATTCTTTAATAAATAGGATAAAAGGAAAGAAAAAAGGAAAGAAAGAGAAAGATCGTGAAATGTATTTAAAAATCAGTATAGTCTTTTCTAAAGTATTCAGATGGATGAATTCCATTCGTCTTTCTGAACGTGAAAACATTCCGTTCTTCGTGTCTTTTCTTTCGTTATATGCAATAGAATACATATCTACACGTGCACTAATACATACATAAACGCAATCTTATGTTACCTACACCATACATACACACACATTCTTTTATAGTTGAATAAACGACGAATGCATACGAACGACATTTAATAAGCAAACTTTTACTTCTAACAATAAATCGATATTTATAATCGATATCGTTATATAAACCGTAGCAAAATTTTGAAAAAAAGAAAAAAAAACTTTGTATCCTAACGTAATCGTCTTTTTTAAAATCATCGATACTTCCAACATACAAAGCAATCATAATATAAATAATTTGAAGAAAAACAAAGTTAACCCAAATAAAGAAAAAAACTATGAACAATTTATTATTTATTAAAAATAACATAATTAATTTTCGCGCGTATCCACCTAGTTACAAATTATAATATTTACAAGTATAATAACATTACACACATACACCTAAATCCTTTCATTTCCAATAGAATTTTCTCTCAAATGATATTTTCTAACTTTAATATCGATATAAAGAGTTAAACCAAAAAAAAAAAACATGAAAATAGGAAAAAGATCGTATCACTTTCTCTCTCGCGAGTAAAACACTAAAACGTTATTTTTCCCTAGGAGTTGCAATAGATAAAATAGATGAATATCTAACGAAAAAGATTAAAGATTAAATAATGATCTTTAAACAAAATATTAATCTATATATATATAATATATATCTATATATACATATATACATTTAAAATATTATCTATATGCATACAAACAAATGCACATATATACAATCATATATATATATATATACCGTATTATATTATGTGTGTGTATGTTTTTTTTTTTTCTATATCGGTCGCACAAGTATAATATTGATTATTTATGATCCATTCTATCCCCTTTAAGATGGTTCATCCTTGTCCCCGTCCACGCTCCACCTCTATATAACTAACCACCACTACTATCGCATGTATCCCCTCTCCTTCTCTCATTCTATATCTCTCTCTCTCTTACTATATATCCCCACTCCTGAACACTTTCTTTGCCGTTCACTCCCACATTCGTTGTTCGTCCGTTCGTTCGTTCGTTCCTCGTTCGTTCGTTCCTTCGTTCCTCGTTCCTTCCTTCCTTCCTTCGTATTTACGTATATACATATGTGATTAGATATATATATACACACACGTATGGGTGTGTGAGAGAGAGACAGAGATAGAAATAGAGATATAGAGAGAGAGAGAGAGAAATAACTCACACATAGATTGTAAAGCGTGCGCATATACGCGCATATTATCCCCCTACTCGCTCTATTCCTGCGTGTAACGACTCAATGGTGCTGCCACACCCTTTCGCCGTTCAGTAATAATCACTGCCATTGTTTCGGTGGTTCCTCATATATATCTTACCAAATTCCTCCATATTATTATCTTTACTTTACATAAAACCCAATAATCCAATTTATATATCTAATTTTTAGGGGGGTTTTTGTTTTTATTCGTAATCAAATAAAAATTCCCAATAAAAAAATACTTTGTCGTATCGATAGGAAAAAATAGGGGT